AATCCACAAATTACATTCGCATACAAATCTACATAAAGGATTCAACCTAGGAAAAGCAATGCCTACCATAACGATCCCATCTTTGCACTTAATTCCAATCACAGTTCCGAAATAACAGAAACAGACTTGTCTAGGTCAGTAAGGAAAGACGAAACACATAGAGCTAAAATACATAAACAAAGCAGAAATTGAACAGACCTGCTGTTATCGACGGCTTTAGCGGCATACTCGATCTAGAAAAGTTCCCAATAGTTCTTGGGATTTGTTAGGTGAATCTATTAGTGCTTAGATCCAAGTACTGAAGCTTCTTGCATCTACCTATACTTGAGGGAATTGAGCCATTTAATTGATTCTCACTCAAATTAAGGTCCTCAAGATTTGGCAGATGGTAGCACAAGTCAATTGGAAGGGTACCAAAAAGGTTATTTTGGTAGAGAGAAATCCTTTTCAAGGAAGAGATATTGAAGATATTTGGTGGAATTAGACCTGATAGGTTTGCATTTTCTGCTGAAAGTATTTTCAAATTATGAAGATTACTCATCTCTTTTGGTATTTTTCCTACAAAAAAAATTGATAGTTTAGAGTTTAATTGAGGAATGATAAATCTCACCTTAACATTTAGCAGATATTTTCAAAGAAAGAAAAAGACAAATAAAAAAAATATGAAATCATTCACTTTATTTTTTATCTCCAATATATATTTCTTTTAGCTTAATTAAGTTTTCAATATTTCTAAATATAGTTCCTATATAAGTTGGTTGTTTTCTACCTTGAGAATCTACAACTTTGAAAAAAAAGTATAATAAAGAAAAAAAATTAAGGGAGTTTGCATTAGAATGATACTTATCAAGAAACTTTTACTAATGCTTACAATGTCGAGAGGAAAGTGTAATGACTCAAAAATTATTAATCTCATGTATTATAAATGAAAATAAAACATATTCAATAATCTCACCTTCAAAGTCATTGTCATGGAGATATATATTAGTAAGTTTGGATAAGTTCCCAATGCTTCTTGGGATGTATCCGGTGAATCTATTAGTGTCTAGACTCAACACCTGAAGCTTCTTGCATCTACTTATACTTGAGGGAATTGAGCCATTTAATTGATTCTCATGCAACAAAAGCAGCTCAAGATTTGGCAGATGGTAGCACAAGTCAATAGGAAGGGTACCAAAAAGGTTATTTTCGTAGAGAGAAATCTCTTTTAAGGAAGAGATATTGAAGATATTTGGTGGAATTATACCTGATAGGCTTGCATTTTCTACTGAAAATATCTCCAAATTATGAAGATTACCTATCTCCTTTGGTATTTCCCCTACAAAAAAATTGGTACTTTAGAGTTTAATTGAGGAGTGATGAATCCCACCTTAACATTTAACACATATTTTCAAAGAAAAAAAAGAAAGACAAATTAAAAAAATATGAAATCATTTGCCTTATTTTTGTATCTCCAATATATATTTCTCTTAGCTTAATTAAGTTCCAATTATTTCTAGATATAGTTCCTATAAGTTGGTTGTTTTCTACTTTGAGAATCTACAACTTTGAAAGCAAACTATAATCAAGAAGAATAAACTCAAAAAAATTAAGAAGGTTTGCATTAGAATGATACCTATCAAGAAACTTTTACTAATGCTTACAATGTTGAGAGTAAAGTGCAATGACTCAAAAATTATTAATCTCATATATTATAAATGAAAATAAAACATATTCAATAATCTCACCTTCAAAGTCATTCTCATGGAGATATATTTCAATAAGTTTGGACAAGTTCCCAATGCTTCTTGGGATGCATCCGGTGAATCTATTAGTGTCTAGATCCAACCACTGAAGCTTCTTGCATCTACTTATACTTGAGGGAATTGAGCCATTTAATTTATTCTCATACAAATCAAGGTGCTCAAGATTTGGTAGATGGTAGCACAAGTCAATAGGAAGGGTACCAAAAAGGTTATTTTCGTTGAGAGAAATCCATTTTAAGGAAGAGATATTGAAGATATTTGGTGGAATTAGACCTGATAGGCTTGCATTTTCAGCTGAAAGTATCTCCAAATTATGAAGATTACCTATCTCTTTTGGTATTTCCCTTACAAAAAAAATTGGTAGTTTAGAGTTTAATTTAGGAATGATGAATCCCACCTTAAGATTTAGCAGATATTTTCAAAGAAAAAAAGAAAAGACAAATTAAAAAAATATGAAATCCTTCGCCTTATTTTTGTATCTCCAATATATATTTCTCTTAGCTTAATTAAGTTCCCAATATTTCTAGATATAGTTCCTATAAGTTGGTTGTTTTCTACTTTGAGAATCTACAACTTTGAAGGCAAACTATAATAAAGAAGATTAAACTCAAAAAAAATTAAGAGGGTTTGTATTAGAATGATACCTATCAAGAAACTTTTACTAATGCTTACAATGTTGAGAGAGTAAAGTGCAATGACTCAAAAATTATTAATCTCATGTATTATTAATGAAAATAAAACACATTCAATAATCTCACCTTCAAAGTCATTGTCAAAGAGATATATTCCAATAAGTTTGGACAAGTTCCCAATGCTTCTTGGGATGTATCCGGTGAATCTATTAGTGTTTAGAGCCAACCACTGAAGCTTCTTGCATCTACTTACACTTGAGGGAATTGAGCCATTTAATTGATTCTCATGCAACAAAAGCAGCTCAAGATTTGGCAGATGGTAACACAAGTCAATAGGAAGGGTACCAAAAAGGTTATTTTCGTGGAGAGAAATCTCTTTTAAGGAAGAGATATTGAAGATATTTGGTGGAATTATACCTGATAGGCTTGCATTTTCAGCTGAAAGTATCTCCAAATTATGAAGATTACCTATCTCTTTTGGTATTTCCCCTACAAAAAAAATTGGTAGTTTAGAGTTTAATTTAGGAATGATGAATCCCACCTTAAGATTTAGCAAATATTTTCAAAGGAAAAAAAAAAAAGACAAGTTAAAAAAATATGAAATCATTCACCGTATTTTTGTATCTCCAACATATATTTCTTTTAGCTCAATTAAGTTCCCAATATTTATAACTATAGTTCCTATAAGTTGGTTGTTTTCTACTTTGAGAATCTACAACTTTGAAAGGAAAGTACAATAAAGAAGAATAAACTCAAAAAAATTAAGGGAGTTTGCATTAGAATGATCCTATCAAGAAACTTTTACTAATGTTTACAATGTCAAGAGTAAAGTGTAATGACTCAAAAATTATTAATCTCATGTATTATAAATGAAAATAAAACATATTCAATAATCTCACCTTCAAAGTCATTGTCATAGAGATATATTTGAGCAAGTTTGGACAAGTTCCCAATGCTTCTTGGGATGTATCCGGTGAATCTATTAGTGTCTAAATCCAACTGCTGAAGCTTCTTGCATCTACCTATACTTGAGGGAATTGAGCCATTTAATTGATTCTCATACAAATCAAGGTGCTCAAGATTTGGCAGATGGTAGCACAAGTCAATAGGAAGGGTACCAAAAAGGTTATTTTCGTTGAGAGAAATCCATTTTAAGGAAGAGATATTGAAGATATTTGGTGGAATTAGACCTGACAGGCTTGCATTTTCTGCTGAAAGTATCTTCAAATTATGAAGATTACCTATCTCCTTTGGTATTTCCCCTACAAAAGAAATTGAGAGTTTAGAGTTTAATTGAAGAATGATGAATCACTACTTAACTCTCAACATATACTATCAAAGAAAAGACGTAAAATTAGAAAACTTTGAAATCA